ACGCGCCAGCGGCCGCGCGCGGCGCGGGCGGCCAGCGCGCCGGGCCACGACGCGTGGCCCCGCACCGGCCCCCACACCAGCTCGCCCACGCGGAACCTCCTGGCCTGGCCCCCCTCGCCCTCCTCGCCCTCCTCGCCCTCCTCGCGTTCGTCCTCGCTCTTCGTATCTACCGATCGAGGAACCTCTGTAGCTCGCCGGCCGACGTTCTTACGTTCTTCCTTCACCGTGAGTCCGTCACCGGCCGAGTCGCGTTCCGCCATATTTCGGCCGAGCGGTGACGCGTCGGTCCCGACCGACCGAAATATGTCGAAACGTGTCATCGCGCTGCGTGTTATTCTAGTACTTTTTTTAATACTCGAGCGTTTACAGGTACAGAACGTACAAAACGAGTGTTACGAACGTAAATCATTGAACTCTTTAGCTATTAGTTGCGTACTTAAGAAATCGGACGAAAAGGGAGAAAATACAGTTCCGTTGAACGATTATAGGCGTTTACTATATTGGAAGCGCACAATCCGTGATAATACCGCGTATATATCGACGTGAACAGCCACGGAAACCGCATTCGCTCCCTCCGTCCGAACCCGAAATAAAAGTTAAACTACAATTTATATAAATAATTGTATTACATGAAAGTTCTTACTTACAACGATGAACAGATGAATGATGATGGCTTTACAATGATGCGTTAGTAATGGATTCCCAATTCGTGAGCCAATTTGTTACTTCAGTGTGGTGCAATGGAAAGCGACAGAAAGCCGGTGAGAACGTTTCAACGCTGCACATCATTTATGTTCTGATTAGTTTCCAGTACACCCTTTATTAACAGCTGTATCTTGTATTAACCCAACCAAAAGAAAACCAATGACCAATAGTATCGCATTATGTAGAAGCTGAAATATACCACAATACACATGAGTATTTGCAGGTTCACACGTTTAATTGTACACAAATATCGTAGTCGGTTCAATGGAATCGATTAATTCAAATGGCGTAGTGAATAATCCAAAACCAATACAAGACACAACATTCGGAACAATTTTGAATTTTGTTAGATGCGATAAGCGTGAGATGGTTTTGGATATTAGTACTGTGGCAACAAAATTCACGTCCGAGCGGTAGAGAAGAGATCAGGGTCAATCGTGTTGATAACGAGCGGCTGGGACGCTCGCTCGGCACGAACGGGGCCGCCAGCCCGTTTTCAAATATGGGGGGATATATTTACAAACAGCGCCGGAAGCGCGCTCGAGCGAACGAGCGAGTTCTCGGTCGCGGAAAAAGTCGAGCGAATCGAAAGCACAGCGGAGAGGAAAGGAAGCGAACCACTCACCGTCGCCGGAACCTAAACGCCCGTCGAACGCTTTCTGCACGGACTCGTCCGAGCTGGAGCCCGAGGCGGAGAAGAGCCTCGCCCGCGACTCATCGTAGTCGGGCTCCTCGGGCAGCCCGCGGACCGGGCCGTCGCAGCGCAGGAGCTTGTCCGCGCGGAAGGCGGAGCCGTCGCCGAAGTCGCCCTTCCTCTTGCAGGCCGGCGCGGGCCGCGCGGCTCGCGGCAGCGGCGCACCTGCAACGGGCGGCGGGTGAGCGCGGGGCGCGGCGGGGCGGGGCGGGGCGGGGTCTTTCGGCGCGCACCGTGCGCGTCGTCGCGCCAGTCGTCGGGCTCGCTGCTGGACACGCACTGCACCATGGGCTCGGGCGAGCGCGTGGTGGTGTCGGGGCGCTGGCGCGGCTGCGGCTGCGGCTGCGGCGGCCGCTCGGGGCCCAGCGGGCTGTGCGTCGTGGTGTCGGGCGGGCTGCCGGCCAGCGGCGACTTGCGCTGCAGCAGCGTCTGCGTGGACACGGAGTGGCGCAGGTGCGCCAGGTCGGCCAGCGCCAGCGCGCGCCGCGCCTCGTCGTCGTCGTCGGGCGGCAGCTGCGCGTTGGCCACCAGCGTGGTCTGCTGCTGCACGATGGTGGTGTTCTGCTGCACGAACGTGGAGTTGGCGCGCGCCGCCGGCCGCTTCGGCGACAGCGGCACCACCAGCGTCTGCCCCAGCCGGTTGGTCTGGATGAACTCCTGCGTCTGCACGTTCCCCGCGCGCACCGGGTGCGGCGCGGCGTTGAACGTCACGTTGGTCGGGCTGAGGTTGGCCAGCAGCGGGCTCAGCTGCCCGTTGAACGCGGGCCCGTTCACCACCACCTGGCCGTTGGGCGACAGGAACTGCGCGCCGGGGCTGTGCTGCGACTGCAGGATCTTGCCCTGCTGGTTCTGCGCGCGGATGACGACGCCGCCGTTGGCGCCGGCCGTGAACACCGACGAGTTCTGCACGGGCGTCAGCACGTTCTGCCCGTTCACTGTCTGCAGCTGCAGCTGCACCGGCACGCCGCCGGAGCCGTCCTGGATGATCGCCGCGCCGTCGGTCGTCATCACCACGCCGCCCAGGTTGGGCACGATGAACTGCTGGAACGCGCCGAAGTTGGGCACGACGCCGCTCGAGTTGTTGATCAAGTTCACGGGCTGGAGGAGGTTGATCTGCTGCGAAGGCGAGGTGTTGGCGATGATCTGCTGCGAGCCGAAGTTGCCGGCGCCGGCCTGGCCGTTCATGACGATGTGGGCCGGCGCGCCGGACTTGCCGGGCACGATGGTGAGCGCCTGCAGCACGGGCGTGGGCGAGATGTTGGCGCTGTTGGGCGACAGCTGGAAGCCGCGCGGCGAGAACTGCGGACTGCTGTGCTGCGGCGACGAGTGCACCACGATGTTGCCGGAAGGCGGCGGCGCTATCTGCAGCACGCCCGCGATGTTAGCCGCTTTCTTCTTCTTGCTCCTCTTCTTGATGCTCTCCGGCGACAGCATCGCCACGCCCTGCATGAAGCTCTGGCCGCCCTTGGCGTCGATCTGCCGAGGGCTCTCGCCCTGCGACTGACCGGACACCATCCCGGCCACGATCTGCGGCAACACGGCGTTCTGCTGCACCACCTGCCCGTCGACCATCATGGGCGGCTGCAGAACGAACGGCGCCGGAAGAGTGTTGACCACCACCGCGGACTGGTTAACCAGCGGCGACACGCCGCCCACGGCCGGCACTACTTGCGTAACCGAGGCAGAGACGTTGCTCGCGGCGGAGCCCGACAGCGGCGACATCGCCGTCGTGGTCTTCGGCGGAGGCGGCAGCATTTGATTGTTGGACACGATTATCTGGCCCGTGGACGATATAAGGATCTGACTGGGCGTCGTCGGGGTCGACCTCCGGGCGGGTAGCGTCACGACCTGAGTATTCGTATTGTCCTGTTTCGGCGGCGGACAGATCACGTTCTGGACCATCTCCAGCGGGGACTTTGCTATGATACTCTGAGTCGTCGTACCGGCTATGTGAAGAGGGTAGCTGGTGGGCAGATTCACGGAGTTTATGAACGGATCCGGCTGGTTGGTGGGTATGGCGTACGTCGTGGCGAGGTTGACGCTGGGCGGCGGCGGCGGCCGGACGAAGTTGACCTGCGAGGCGTTGATGGACGTCGTGGCCGTGCTGGCCTTGCCGGCCAGCACCGAAGTGACGGTGTCCCTGGTGACGGAGAAGCTGGCCACGGTGGTGACGAAGGTCTGCACGTAGCAGGCCTGCACCAGCGAGTGCGCCGGGCCGCCTCCCAGGTGCGGCGGCGGACAGTAGCCCGGCATGGCATTGTCCGGGCGCTTGCGAAACGCGGGCCGCACGCCCACCATCGCGATGTTGTCCACCTCCATGAGGTTCTTGTTGACGTTGTGGTTGGAGATGAAGTGCATGACCTGCGTGACGGGGGGCCCCGGCGCGGCCTCGGCGCCGGCGAGGCCCGGCAGGTCGCGGAGGCCGCAGCGCGTGGGCGACGGCGAGGGCGGCGCCACGAGGCTGGTGCTGACGGTGCCCGCCTGGATGGGACCCTCGGGGGGGCTGCGTTCTGCGAGCGTCGACGTCACAGGGTTGTCGTCGAAGACGTGGCGCGGACTCGACGCGCCGCCCTCCGCCTCCAGTCGGAACGCGGCGGGGCGCATGTACTTCAGCCGCAGCTGGTTGTCGACGAAGTCGGAGCTTTTCATGGTGCCGTTGCAGCCCTTGCAGCACTGCGTCGTCTCGGCGCCTTTCTCCGATAGCACGCTGCTGTCGGGAGTGTTGTTGGGCGACGGCGTCGGGTTCGGCACCGTGCTGTTTCGGTACACGTTGGGGACTTCGCACGTTTTGCCCGCAGGCCTGGCGCACTTGTCCGCCAGCATCTGCCCCGCGTAGCAGAGGTTGGAGCCGTCGTACTGGTTGCCCTCGAACGTTGACGTCATTCCTACTTGTCTAGATATCGTGTTGTTGAGCAGAGCCGTCTGCTGCGCCAGGTACCCGGTCGGATCGTCCATGAACGACGGAATACCGTTGTTGGGCGTCTCTTCGCACGCCGCAAGAATCGAGGCGCAGGCTTTCGACTCCTGCAGCATCCGCATGCCCTGGTTTGCAAACTGCATAACTTTGTTTTCTGCGGGGCTCCCCTTCTTTCTCACGCCTTTGTTGTTGACTTTGGCCTTCCTCTTGTTGACGTCGAGCGCGTGCCACTGCTGGCCCGCCAGGTTGTAGTGCTGCGGCAGCGGCGGCACGCGCGAGCACATGGCGGCCGCGGCTCGCTCGCCGCCGGGGAAGGGGCCGTAGGAGCCCGAACAATCTTCCGATTCGTTAGCGGCGGCCTCGGCCACGTCCACGCCGTCGACTCTGAGCGGCTGCGGAGTCGGGCTGGTGACGGCGCCGACGTTGGCTTCGTTCCGCTTCACTTGCCACGGCGGCGTCTTGGCGGGGTTCGTTTTCACCACGGCTCCGTTCTGTATCACCAGCTGCGCTTGCGGCACGTACTGATTGTGCACGGGTGGCTTGCTGTTCTCGGCCAACTGCGCGCGGAAACCCTTCATGGCCATTTCGATCTGTTTTTGGTTCTGCTGGATAAAAATCTGCTGCTGCTCGTTTATTTTCTGCATGACTTCGGGCGTGAGCGGCTGGTTCAGGCCGCAGAATATTTGAGATTCCTCTTCTTTGCCGGCGCGCTTCGCCGCCGGCGCGTCGCCGCGGTCGTGCTTGAGGTCGCGGTCGAGGTCGGCGAGGGGCCCGTCGGCCTTGAAGGCGAGGGGCCCGTCGGCCTTGAGGCCGAGCGGCTTGTAGCCGGCGCCCAGCCCCACGAGCTGGCCGGGCGGGCCCGGGCTGAGCTGCGCGTCGGGGCTCTCGCGCTGCGAGATCCAGCCGCTGCTGACCGTGAGGTAGTGCGCGCCGCGCTGCGGGGGCTCCGCGGCCGGGGACGTCGTCCGGCCGTGCTCGCCGTCTTGAGGCTGAAATCCCAACGGTTACCGTTCAGTTCAGGCACTACAACGCCAAAGACGGCTATTCCAAGTTTACAGTTAAGTAGAACTCGACGGCTTCGCGTACAGCTGTTGAAATTAAAAAACATCGTAATTTCAAAGCGAACGGTTTTAAGCTTTTATCGTCCCTGGATCCGGTCATCAGCGAATGTAAAAGACGTCAAGTATCGCCCGACGAGTCGCCGCCTGCCGTGAGTGTTGCGCGTCGGCCTAGGGACAACCCTAGTACACAAATAAATAATGAAGACCGAGTGCGGGTAGTCAGAAAAATTCGCACGGTTGGAAGTCCCTTCGACACCGTGGAGGTTGCAACACGGCCGGAACGTCGAGGTAAAATATGTTTATAAGTACACGATTAAATCCCGATTTTAAAATTAAATAGGGAACCGTTATATACCTTGAAATCGTTAAGCGGACGTTCTATCTGCACCATCATCTGAGAAACGCTCATGTTGGGAAGGCCTGGACGCTTCTTTATCTTTTTCTTCAGCCCGCCCGCTTCGGCGCCGGCCACTGAAATTAAATTAACAAAAGAAAATGGTGAGCGAAACTGTAAACGTGATGATGAATGTTTTGATATTTATTTGTAAGGATGCGAATTCTGCCTTTTTTCGTTACGAGGGCAGAATTTAAAACGCAATTAGTAAAAACAAAAATCGGCTGTCGTTCTTCAAAGTGTGCCGGTATTTTGTTATAAATGGATTCGATCGATTTACATAGGAGTATATTTCGTATTTGCTTTTTTGATTTGCTTACCTATCGTATATCTTACTTCAACAAAAATTTGGACTCCACGTCAATGACGACAAGGAAACTTGTTAAATAATGCATCTTCAGGCGTGGCTCGACGTATCAAAATTTTATTATCAAGGTTGAAAAATGATATGTTAACATATAAAATTAGTATTTTTATTAATAGAAGCTTCGTTCAAACCTTGAAGAGGACTCCGGCTCCTGTGATACATACTACATTAGCTCGTTACTGTGGCGCGTACTATTTTGCGACAAATACCCATTACCACATATTATGATTATGACAACAGCCAATTCATTGAAACAATGAATTCGCATGCGTTGGATCAACGCCCCATAAAGATTGGGTTGATAGCAACAAGGGAGCGCAGCCGTAGCGCGGGGTCGCTACGCTCTCCGGCCGGTGTCGGGAGAGCTGGCGCGGGCCGCGCGAGCTCTATCGGCGACCGCCCGCTCTCCAGACGACCTCACCGATAAAAGCGAATCAAACCTCTCGCCCGAGCAAGTAATACACTAAATAAAACCATTTTTAAACATTCTTAGCCTTCTTAAAAACCTAATAAAGGCATTACACTCTAATTGACAAGGAGGAGTTAGTACTTGGTTTGTTTTTAAATCCATTGAATTACAAACGTTCTGTACGAATTACAAAAACACAAGGGTAAAGGTACCCAACGAATTTGGCGCAATTCTGAAGTTTAATAACTTATTCTGCGAACTCAATTTAAGAGCCATCATAATAAAATCTATTTAACATTTCCTTGACTCGAGATCGGTATCGGAGGGCAACTGCGAACGACCCAGATTACGGTCGAGGGAAACGGAAAATAAGCGACTCCACAACAAAACGGAAAAGGAGAGAGCACCGACGATCGACCCATTTGTATATGTAAAGGAAACCAAAGATTGCCATTATGGCTTTTAAATCGCGCTTAATCGACGACTGTTACTCAAAGGGGAGATTATAATTAAACGTTACGCCTTGGAGAACGGTAACGCCAGTCAATTATTTTGGATAATCAATAAAAGAAAGCGACCAATCTGTACAGTTAAGACTCTCACGGAGCTCACCAAGAAACTCCCCGAAAAGCATGTCGAAGCTGTAATTCGATAGCGCCTCATAATTAGTTAGCGAGCCGAGTATAATACCGTTATCTATTTGCACATTATCTGGCAGATTTGCAATTAAAATACGGGCTGTGAGCGAAACGAGGGGGTAGTGGGAGCAGCGCGGGGAGGTGGGTGTTCGTAGGGTGTCGGGGTGGCGCGAGGAGCAGATCAATAGCGGGGCGCGGCGCGGTCGCGGGCGACGCCGGCCGCCGCGAAGCACCGCCGATTGTTTCGAATTACGCCCGCCCTTTGTTCCCGCCACCGATGGAGTCGCCGCCGTTTTTGTCCGCGAACCGCCGACTTCCTTCGCGGTAATTACGCAATTCTATAGCTCGTCGTATACGCTTCCCGATCGCCATTTCTAGGCGCGTAATCTGTTTGTGCCCGCGCTTCTCGGATCCGCACCTTTTCAGTATTCCGCCTCCGCATTACCGGAGAAAGTAGCTATTTTAATTAGAATGCATTAGCGGCCTCAACGAATGCCTCTCTTCGATAGGCTACTGTATCTCCCTTAGTAGTTCAATGTCCGCAATTAGGTATGCAAAACGCTGGAAAACAACATCAAAACGGACGAGAAAGAGGGGTATAAAACGGAGACTAAATGAGTGGCGCCCAAACGGGGACCGCGGGACCGATGATAATATAATTTCCGCAGAAAGGGGTTAACAACCACTTAAACATAAGGTTGCCCTGTGCTTTCCTGGGTATTATAGTACGAAATGAGTGTAACAGCGATTAATTTTAATTATGAGGATCGTCGTTTTGAGATTTTACGTGATGTATAAGATGCTATTTGTGTTGTAATGAGTATGAGTGCGTTTACTGAGGTCAGACCGAACTAGTAAAAACTATTGCGCAGATATTATGGAGGTAGAGAAAAGACAGGATTGCAGCCGGCGGGTGGTGGGGTGAGGGGTGTGGCGAGGTGCAGCGGCAGGTTGTTCCTCCCGGACGGACGGTTGACGAAGTGCAGTTACCGCTATTCATGCCGCACTAAATGCCCCGCGCGCCCCGCACCCGCCCGCCACCCATTGCCACTTAACAACAAAGAGGCCGCTCTACCCTCTTTGTTATTAGACACAACTTCAAACTTCCACAGACCACTTTCAAAATTTTTTTGTCTATTAGCAAGACGGAACAATCGCACGAACTTTATATGTACCATAAACACGTAGGACGCTTGCTTGTTTCTTAAAGAATGACCTATTTATCTCGGCTTTACGTCGTCAATCCAATACCAAAATATTTATTTTATGGACTCTACTTATGCTATTTACTACAATGAACGATATTTGAACGTAACCAATGTGCAGGCATAGCAATGAATAAGCCATTTAGAATCAATAGCTCTTTCATCGAGAGGCTGATACGGGCCGAGGTTCTCGGCTAATCCCGGCCGGTTTACACTCCAATAATTGGATGAAGGAGGGCCTGTCGCCAGCGCCGGCCGAGATTGTACCCTGAACACCCGCCGCACGCTAATCGGATAATAATGCTCTCACACCTACGACGGGCACATTGAAACAATCCCTTTTTCAATGAACTTTAAAAAACACTTGACTGAAAACTTATTCGCTTAAAAAGTTCAACTCGCCAGCGACGTCGTAAAGTCCTCTAATTTAAAAGCAAACGGCCACGAGGGTGGGACAAAGTAGCCGTGTCGGCGCGCGTTCCTCACGACCATTAAAAAATCTCTTCAAACAATGCGACGCGAAAACGGCCGCAGTAAACTTAATCGTGACTATTGCAGCTCATTTCACGGACTACGCCGATTTTCCCTGCTCCATTCGCTTGTTGATAAAGGTTTTCTAATAGGGCTGTGTTATGGGAAACGCTGAATCATGGAAGTGTTATTAGTGACCACCTCTATCGCTTTGTATTTTTTCTTAAACTGTCATTATGTTTTCCCCTAGAGTCAACGTTCCGAGGAAATCTAATAGGAGTGAACAGCCGTCCGTCCACGGCGGCCGCTCCAACTCGAATGCCAGCAGACTTAACGGGCGACGCACTAGTTCACTAAACACAATTTACCCTCTGTTATTTCGTCGACAATTTTCATCTCATTTCTCTGCTCCCCTTCCTTCTTAGGGCATGAATAATAATTTATTTATTGTTATCTCATTTATTGTTGTTTACTCGTAAAATTGAAGATTGAGTTTAGCGAAGTAATTTGTTTACTCTGACAACGACGCTTTTAGCGCGAATTGAAAAAGCGACGGAATGAATTTTAGGAGACGTCAAACATTGTGATCTAGAATGCCTTGGTCAGCCAAGGCAGAAAGTTTCCATCACGATTTAGCTTATCAAGTACTCTTATCCAATTTGCTAATCTTCTTTTGTACCCATTTAAATCCACTTAACTTAATGTAATTAATAAACATCTTTATTATCGGTAAAAAGGTGTGAATAACTGAAACTTTTAACTAAGGCCACAAAGAAACCGCACGACCTTATTTCAATAATAAAATATAAAATACGCAAATACTTTAATTTGAAAAGACAATATTCGTGTCATACACAGGTTTTAACATTAATCGAATGCGATCATATTTCAGATAGTCACCGTGCGGTGGTTCACCCATACCAAAATTTGCGCGATCAATCCTATGTCTGTATGTCCCCCTTAGGTATAGGGGGACAATTTATTTAACACCTATGTCGTATTATACCTTTCTTGTGGTCGAGATGCGGGTGCGGCGGCGGCGTGCCAGGCGAGTGCGCGTGCGCCTGCAGCGTAGCAAGCAGTTTCCGCTTGTGATTGCACAGCTTCGTCAGCTCCGCGCCCGAGCCCGCGACGTACGGTTTGCTCGCCACCTGGAAAGACCACAACAGAATTAATATCTGGCAGTCAATAAGTTAATAATAGAAGAGAAAATAAAGAAAAATTTATAAGAGAATTGAAACTAAATATGCACCACCTACGCTATCAATGCAGGTCTGTCATCTCGCTGGAACAAATTTATTCGTTAACGACAGTGTAGCGGAGAACTAAACTATTTTCGTTTTACATAATATTTGATTTAAATAGCAGCTTCAGGTTTCTGCTGGGGCTGCCGTAGCGCTGTAGTGCGCCAGGGCTGTTCGCGGAGGCGCGCACGGATAACTTTTATGCCATGACGAGGAAACGGTGCGATTCCGCGCTTCCCCACTCACCTGGCTCCTCGCTCCTCGCTAGCGCCAACCGACTCCTAAAAGTTTAAGCCGATCGGTGGGACTGCCCATTGCTACGTCTCTGGATTCAGCTCCACAATTAACGTTGAGAAGTTCCGGCGATAACATTATCCTTCATCACTATTGTAGGTATAAGATTCTAAGGATTGATTATAAGTTGTGTTACTAACTAGCTATGTACTATGTCCGAAATAAAAATCATTTATTATTATTATCTACATTGGGATGAAATGGTACTCGGTAGAGGCCAATTCCAGTGACTATAGTAAAAAGCTTCAGTCTGCAAGTTGGAGATGGTCTATTTGACATTATACGAACGAGTACGCCCTTGCGTTATCATGTAAAAGTAGTGGCGAAGATCGGTGCGATCAGTTGTCTTCGTAGTAGCAGACCATCAGAACCTGTGATGAAGAACTCTGCGCTTGGGCCATCAAAGGGGTACCAAAAATTTTCTAAAAGTGAGTTTCTTTTTGGACCTGTTTTGGACTGCATTGATCGGTTAAACGAAATCGTGGTACCATGAATTTGGACTTAGTTCTAAGGTTAATAAAATATTATGAATATCTTCTTTCTTATTGAAATTATGTATATTTTTACGGGCATATAAAATATTTGAGTAAATGTACTGTGATGTCACAGTCATGATACCAGTCTCCTTAAACTTTTCTCTGAGAGAAACCCGAGAGCCTAGACGGTACACAGAACGAATCGCTCGTTTTTGCAATACAAATATGGTTTGAATATCTGCCGCTTTACCCCACATGACAAAAAAAAATTAAAAAAAATGGACATTATACAATGGAAGTAACTAAAGTAAACCAGTCTAGCAGTACTAACATCGGTAAGCTCACGTATTCTGCGGACTGCGTACGCAGCGGAGCTTAAACTGCTGGCCAGGGAAGATATATGTGGAAACCATTGAAGTTTACTATCTAAGGTCACTCCCAAGAAGACTGCTTTATTAACAAGGTCTAACTTGTCTCCGTTTATTTCTATGCTTGGACTATTCGATTTAACGTTAGGTAATTCAAATTTAACACATTTTGTCTTCTTGGCATTAAGCAATAAATTATTCGCATTAAACCAATAAACTACCTTAGAGAGGGTATCATTAATATGGTCATAGTTAATGTCATGTCTGTCTGTTTTAAAATTCAAGGATGTGTCATCAGCAAACAACACTATTTCGCAATGGTCCTTAACAAAGAATGGCAGATCATTAATCCATTTATCATTATATATATAAAGCTACAAGTTTACTTGTATACTTCCAAGCATACTTCCCGATATGGTGGAAAATGGTTATTTGTTATGTAAGGCTGCAAAGTTGTTGTTTGACGACAGTGCTTGTATTGAAACCTGAGCTAGCGAAGGATTGTCAGATAGAACCCGAGTGAAACGAGTGGTTCAAAAATAGAACCCTGAGCGTAGCGAGTGTTTCAAAGCATAAGACACAAAACAACTTTGCTGCCGTGCGAAACACCCAAATTTTCACCTCCACTATAGCGAGGAAAATGGTAGATGAAAGGAAAACAGTTGAACTATAATAAAAGTTTATCTTCGGATGCGTTCTGAATTGGCATCTCAACAATTTTTAATCTTGCTGGTACTTATAATTTTGCGTGGTTATTGAAATTATTTTAGTTCTTCGACGAATGAACATAATTTAACGCGTTTTTTCCACGCTAGCATGGAAAAAACGCTTTTGCGCGCATATTTCTTATGAGGTGCGGAGATCTTTAAGAGACCTTAATCATAATTTGAAGTCAAAAGTATTTTTTACATATTTTTTATATAGCTGCCATATAAGCGTTTTTTTTTTTTTGTTAAAAATGACAGTTGAAAAAAACTTACTCTGCTTTAGGTGAAAATTGGCCTGCGGAGACCTGTAGGAGTGCCTGATAAAAATTTGTGGTCAAAATTAGTTATTCGTCATTTTCAAAAATGATCGCCATACAAGCGTCCATTGGCGCCTGAAAAAAAATGTATTCTGATACCTTTGAAAATTGGCAAGTGCGGGTGTGTAGGACATAAATGACTGTTGAAAAAACTTGCTTACCGAAGAGCATAAGCACACCCCGTAATCTAAACCCGATTACGCGCTGCAGAACCCCCCGCAGGTAGGGTATAGGGCTGGTTATATTATATTGTTACCTGTTTTTGACTGCAAGCTCTGGTCATCCACGAGGCACATTTACCAGGTTCGGTATCCACCGCGGAATCGGACAAACCAGAAACGCATAGTACCTACAACCGTTAGTTGTATCCGGTGTATAAACGTCATTAATGTTTCAAGTCATTTGCGATGTAACATTTAAATGTCACATCGGTACTTTTATTTGAAAAGTACATGAACTTCAGCAGCATCCATGTTTGTTTTCAAAGTGTATGTAAAATTACCCAAAACAAAAACAGATTAATAAAGCCAACACTTTACATGTAGAATATTTCATTAGATAATAAAATACAACAAATAATCTGAATTTTATGGTAAAAAGACTAAGGAACCACATTATGAAAGAGAATTTGCAGTAGACACCATATTTGGCAGGCGTACGAGAAATGGCAGTAACGTTGCAACATATTTTAAGCTTAGAGAACGATTTCCGCCCACTTCATTCTTTCTAAGACATTTCCTAAAGGTAGGTGATATTTGTGACAAGACTATTTATTGCGTAACAGATACAAAGCCGGTATAGCGACAGGCGCTGGTTCGAGTGCAGTAAATGGAAGGAACTTTTCTGTGTTGTTCGATCTTTCTATTAATAATAATAATAAACCGATGGGTTCTTTTCACAAAAACATCCCCTTAGTATAAACATGATATTTAATAAATTAAAGTTGAGGAACCACCGAGATTTCGTCACAACCACGAGTCTGTCCGTGTCCGTTACGAAGGTAAAGTGAAAAAGATTTTGAGAAAGACTTGAAAGCACTAGATTTACAGCCCATGTCTGACACTGACACCAACTCCAGTAATGAACAACGAACGCGACAAGGGAACAACACATTCACAGGCTATGGGCGTAAAACAATGCTGCATAATTGCTGCGTACCCAGCTTGTATTGTATGCACAGCTAGGAGCCTTACGTCTGAGCAGGGTATACAATTGTTTGCTATAGATGAACTGGATTAGTTGCCAAACGCTAATTGTATGCAAATGAAACGTGTTCAATACATTGCAAAATCACAATAGGAGTGGCTTATATACATTTACGTCAGGCTACGGTGCAAATTAGTTTTGAACACATTTATAGAGCGTCATTAAGTATGCCGCGCTATTTTCGCATTATAGGCGACCAATCATCGAGCAGTGCATTTCCTCATTTCACGGCGAACACCGGTCGCGATCCAGTTCACACGCCGATTCAAACAGTTGATCTGCTGCCCGAAGCATTCAGCTTGCAGCACGATCCGCGTCTCATAACAATATTATAAGCTGACTACTCGCAGCATGTCGCCTACTGAACAAACTATAAGATTTTATAAAGCGAGTACATTATTTCTGGCCTACTTGGTGTAAATAAAAACAACAGTTGAGAAATCTCTTTCGTCCTATAATCTTTTACGAACACGTGTTAAAAAAGCCCCGGTCACGTCTCGTTTTTTTAGTCCCAGTTAGATGTATTCAAATCAAATCGATTGTGAAAGGATTGAGCGGGGTGAGAACAGCCTCCCCGCTTTGGCAATAAATAGCGCTCGAACGCTTTAAGCGTCGAGCACTCGGCCATCGAGCATTCATTACGGACGAACGTCGCCCACTGTGCACCGCTGCAACCCGCACACGCAAATTGCGCACAGCGGTGCAGCATGCAGCCTCCCGCTGGTACAGCTGCGATCTATTTGTTCGAGAATCACTGTCTAAGTAAGTGTTGTGTTAGCACCACGGCACTAATGACCGGCAAAATGGATATGTAGCGCTTCTCAATGTACTCTCTTCGCTCAGGCTCTTCATTGGCCAGGCAAATTTGTGATTAGCTAGCGCCAATGAGGCTAGTAAAGCTCGAATAGATAGGATTTTTGCATTTCCAATCACTGCTCAAAATTGTTCTTTTCATTTGAAACATTAATGTAAAGAGCGCAGATTAACAAATCTTTGAACCGTGACATGGCGGAGGCCAAGTGCAGTTTATAGAATATTAAAAACCCGGTCCCGTTATTATTGCCTTCTAATTCACAGTTTTCTGCTATCATCAACAATGAGATTATTAACTGAGAGAGATAACTCAAATGGTGCAATCATTATTATAGCTAATATTAGGTCCAGTCAATCAGCCGGCGGCAGCGCAGGCCACGGCTGTCCTCGTACCACTTAGCGGACAATCACACTCGCACTTCGCCGCAACGTTTGCTGTGAGTTACGTGACGCATACGCCATTGTACATGCGAGCATTATAATAAACCTCGCATAAACTGCAAAGAATTAAATCCTCATTACATTAAATCCATTTTCGACGTTTTATAAAACAATAAATACGTTCCACGTTTGTGAAGTGACTTATAGAATTATCTAGCACGTGGAATGCACAACACATTCGATCACTATTGTGCTGTGCATACAACGGACACATAATATGTGATGCATGTTAATATTATGTCCGTTTAGCCTATAAGCCACTGCACTAGGGAGACGCGCAGGGCG